TCCTGGAACCAAGCCCTTTACTACCACTGAAGCAATCTTCTTTGCAACACCCTGCAAGTGCTGGGACATGCAGACAATGCAGAGCCACTGTAGTAAAAGCACACAGGGAGCCCTGAAGCTGAGGCACTGATCGTTCAGAAAGACAGCAGGCAGGTGAGGCTCTGAGACAATGTAAAGGAAAGGGCAAGCTCTTGGAGCTAAAGTATCAGTCAAATGACTCCTGAGAGGGCAGCTGAGGCCACCAGCCACACAGCCATCTCAGCATAAACAAGGTGCAAGGATCCACCCCCCTCAACCCCTTGTCCAACCTATGAAGCACTAAATAAATTCAACTGTGTACCTACGATACACAGCAGGAACTAAAACGACTTCAGCTCCACCCTGCACAAGTATACAGGCTGCTTTGTAAAGGTTCATCATTTTAACCTCGCAGTCATCCTATAATAGACGAGTCATCATACCCATTTTATACAGGCAGAAATGGAGGGTCAGAAGCTAAAAGCAACAGAGCCCAGGCTGTAATCCAGAGAATCAGAGAATCAAATCCTTGCTCTATGTACTCCACCATGGTGCCACCATACTTGGTTAGAGGTCAAGGCAGGATTTTTTTTTTTTTTTTTTTTTAATCCAAGCTGGAAAAAGAATTTTTCTTTGAGACTGAGTCTCGCTCTATTGCCCAGGCCGGACTGCAGCGGCGCGACCTCGGCTTACTGCAAGGTCTCCCAGGTTCAAGCGATTCTCCTGCCTCAGCCTCCCAAATAGCTGGGACCACAGGTGTACACCACCACGCCCAGCTAATTTTTGTACTTTTAGTAGAGATGGGTTTTCACCATGTTGGCCACGCTGGTCTCGAACTCCTGACCTCAGGTGATCCACCCTCCTCGGCCTCCCAAAATGCTGGGATTACAGGCGTAAGCCACCGCGCCCAGACGGAACATTTTTAAATGCCAGACATTAAATGATACGCTTAAGAAAACCCTCCATTAATCCTTTATCTATCTCCACCTCCCACCTTCTCTGTCTCCTTCCCGTCACAGGCATGTTCTTTTTTTGAAAGAGTTTTCTGAGATTGCTGCCTCCACTTCCTCACCTAGCAAACATTACTCAACCCTCTGTCATTAGGCTTCTCTCCTCAAAACACCCTGGGCCCCCCAGCAGATGGAGCACTGGCAAAGAGGAACAATGACCTTTTCGTTGCTGAATCCCATCCAATGGCACTTTGCTGTCCTACGTCACTTGACTTTCCCCACAGGATAAAACTAGTCACAATTCCTCATTTCGTAAACTCTCTTTTTGGTTCACATGACATTATTCTTTTTTGGTAATCCTTCCAACTCTCTGGCCTCTCCTTCAGGCACTCCGCTCACCCTAAGACTGCTCCATTAAAAAGTCTACATTAGCTCTCTGCTATTCTCACCCCACTGTGTGGTTTTGGGTTTTTTGTTTGTTTGTTTGGAGACAGAGTCTCATCCTGTCATCCAGGCTGCAGTGCAGTGGTGTGATCTCAGCTCACTGCAACCTCTGCCTCCTGGGTTCAAGCGATTCTCCTACCTCAGCCTCCCCAGTAGCTGCGATTACAGTGCACGCTACGTCACTCAGCTAATTTTTGTATTTTTTAGTAGAGATAGGGTTTCACCATGTTGGCCAGGCTTGTCTCAAACTCCTGACCTCAGTAATCTACCCACCTCACAAAGTGCTGGGATTACAGGCATGAGCCACCATTCATGGCCGACTGTGCAGTTTCATCTTGGACAATCTCATCCATTCCCACAGTTTCTTCTATCACCTATTTTATGTTGGCCTTAGATAGACATCACCAGCCAGGGGTACTTCTCCAAGCTCCAGACCTGTCTCTTCAATCATCTAGTAGACACCTCTATATGCATACTACACAGGCAGCATGAAATCAACCAATTCAAAACTAAACTCCACCCATACCAATACGTGCTTGTCCTTTCATGGGTCCTACATCAGCAAAAGAGACTAAAATCTATAGTCAAATACCTGGGAGGCCTCCAACACTCTTCTAACCCTTTTCACTAGCATCATTCAGCCACAAATTCTTTAAGATGCCTCATATTTGTCATATATCCCATCTCTACATGCTGTCACCAGTTCCTCAGCAGACTATTATACCTTATCTTTGGCTACACTCAGCATTTCCATGTGCTCCTTTCTGATTGGACCTTGGGCAAACCTGCCACAACATGGGCATCATAGTTGTCATGGAACCTCTGTAATCCTTGCTTCCCCTCAGTTTGAGTACACCTCTGTATCTTCACAGCATCCCACACCTCTCATTCGATATTGAAATGGTCTGTTTACTTCTGGATTCTCAACTAGACTCTAAACTTGAGGACAGAAATGTACCTCTCTCATCTTTATATACTCCAGGGCCTGAAGTATGAGAAGACTCTTAGTAAATGACCTTATGAAAGAGATTAGGCTATGGGTGGTACGGAAGAAGTAGTAGAGATTTCCAAGGTAAGGAGAGAGGGGAGAAAGGAGGTCATTCACAGGGCAGGAATGGGTATGAAGAAAAGTAGGGAACTAAACTCAGGCATATCACCTGAGAGTCTGCAGTCTGGTTAAACCACAGAGTTCCAATAAGAGGAATATGATCTTGAATTTAATATAGGCAAAGATTAATGGAAATAACAGAAGCAGAAACTGGCATTTATAAAGCACTTAATTTATAAATTTATATTCAATTTAACCTCAAGAAGGAGGGATGCTAGATACTATAGAGTAGGTATTATTGTTCCCATGATTCGAAAGATTATGGGGCAAGCAGATATCCCCAAAGTCTATCGTGACCTCTGAGTTACCAGAATTTAGCGTGTTCTGACTTTCACATTCCATGATCTTTAACACTACAAAAATAACTCCTTATCTTTAGTTAGTAATTATAATTCAAGAATTGCCTTACCATACAATAACACAGGATTAAGGAACAAAAGAATAAGATCTCTCATACTCTCCACTCCTGCCCCCAACCCCAGCAGACACTAATCGACTTTCTGCCTCTACAGATTTGCCTTTTCTGGACATTTCACCTAAAGACATGTAGTCTTTAGGTGTCTGGCTTCCTTCTCATGCAAAACGTTTTTGAGGTCCATCTATACAATAGCTGTACTTCAACTCTTTTTACTGGGTAATATTCCATCCTTTGCCTATACCACAGTTGACTCATCTACTCTCCAGTCAGCACTTGGCTTCTTTCTGCTTTTAACTATCATGAATAATGCTATTATAAACAATTGCATACAAGTCATTGCATGGGCATATGTTTTCATTTCTTGTGGCTAGATACCTAGAGGTAGAACTACTGGGTCATATGACACATTTGGTTTTAACTTTTTAAGAAACTGCCAAGCTCTTTCCAGAGTGGCTGTACCACTTCGATTTCTTATCAGCAGTGTATGAGGGGTCCTGTTTTCCCCACCCTCAGCAACACTTGTTACTGTCTGTCCTTTTCAGATCCAGCCATTCTGGTAGAGGCAAGATGGTATAACACTGTGGTTCTCATTTGAATTTCCCTACTGACTAATGATGTTCAGTGTCCTTCCATGCACTCTTGCTGAAATGTCTAGACAAATCTTTTGACTTTTTTTAAATTGGGTTGTGTTCTCCTTATTAAGAAGCTGTAAAAGTTCTTTGCATATTCTAAATACAAATCCTTTATCAGAAATGTAACATGCAAATATTTTCTCCCAGTCTCCTCTCTCTACGTCCTCCTTATTCGCCAACTGTCTGCTCGCTCTCTCTCTTACTGCAACTGTCAGTGAGGAAGGTTACAGGAAGCCATCTGAAGAGGACAACCATACAACTTGAGAACAGAGAAACATAAAACTAAAAATGTGCTTATCAGGTAATTTCCTTGAAATGTTTCCATGAGAAACTGGATTCAAGCTTTTTAAGCTTACTGAAATCCAAAGATCATTATTACAAAGTCTAGAAAATTAACAGCTTCAGTCATTCTCCCCAGTAAACTTTAATAAATAAAAAGAAAGTAGAGTTTTACCTCTTTGACTTACATTACAAAATAATGTGATGCTGGAACCCCAAAAGGAGGGATTCTAAGAACCTTAATCAATGCCTATGCTGCATTAACCAAAAAACAACTTCTGAATGCCACTGTGTACCACATACTCAAGGTGAGGTATGGATAGATTGTCTACACTCTCAAAAGAGTGGATTCTAGGTGGAGACAATCATTGAAAAATTAAAAACCATTTTTTCTATCTACTACCAAATCAAGTACCTTAGCTACATGTGATATTTGCAAACAGAAGAGAAGGACACACACAGGAACATGAAAAGAAATAAGTGCCTCTCCACTTACTGCAAACTCCTACATATACTCCTGCCTCCCATGTGCCTTTCCCTGCTATCTTAGCACATATGCAGGGACAAAAGTAACTGCTCACATCAGCCCCAAGTTTCTTTGCGCTTGGATAGAATGAGGTTACTTGGGGTCTCTTTAAGCAACATCAGTGATGGGACATGAAAGTCCCACATGGTTTTATTTCATGAGAAAGCGTGTGACTTCCCCTTACAGTAAACTGTCCCATAAGCACATTCTACTTCAGCTGCACTTTCCAGAACAGTTCCCAGGAATTCTGCTTTCTATGGTCAATACGTGATGGAAGCCAGAGAACAGGGAACTGATCCAGATGCAGGGAAAGGGATGGGGGAAATCATGTTTGATAGTATCCAACATCGCACGCACATATGGTCTCAGCTAACCTTTATTAAGATGTCGTGAAGAATGTAAAGCTCAGAAAAGTTAAGGTATGTAGCCAAAGTCATCCACAAGACATAACTCCCAGCAGGGAATTATGAAAGAGGGCAACTCTTGTGTGGCCCAGGTGTTCATCTCCAAAGAGCACATGCTTTCTGAATCGTGGAGGCAATCGCTTTAACTGAAAAGACCAATATGTTATATTTTCAAATTCCTTCCCAACTGATTCTTTCCTCATTTTTCTTTTTCTCCCCAGAAATCAAACCAGGAATAACCTATGGTGAACCCACGCCTCAACTGTCCCCAAGTGTTTCCTGACACGCATCTTTGCTTATCATCACAACTGAAGAATGGGGCTCAACTTGACACTTGCAAAATTACCAAGTAAGCCGTCGGAAGAGACGTAAAGAAAATCTTACTTTATCAATGACTATTATTTTCACTGTTTGGGAATTTGGGGAGTTTAATGGTCAGAGAACCAACTAACAAAATAAACCAGCATTTAGCTTTGTGTTTCCTTATGTATAAAACAGTAAACACACAGGATAGTATCGCTGAGACAAATTTAGCTTACTATCATTTTGTTTTAAACTTTGTTTCATCTAGACATCATCTCTAAAATGACAAGTAGGATTAAATTAATAATATTTATGGAAGATTTTAAACACAAACTAGAATCACATATTACTTTCCAGATTTAATAGTTTAAACCAAGGTTCATGAGGTTCCCCAAGAGGCCAGAGATAACACTGACCTAGTCTACGGGGTAACTATTTAGAAAATGATCATACCTAAATACAAAAAAATTAGCCAGGTGTGGTGGCGCATGTCTGTAGTCCCTGCTACTTGGGAGGCTGAGGCACTAGAATCGCTTGAATCCAGCAGGCAGAGGTTGCAGTGAGCCGAGATCGCACCACTGCACTCCAGCCTGGGTGACAGAGCAGGACTCTGTATCAGAAAAAAAGAAAGGAAAGGAAAGGAATGGGAAGGGGAAGGGGAAGAGGAAGGGGAGGGGAAGGGGGAGGAGGAGGGAAAGGGGAAAGGGGAAAGGGGAAAGGAGAAAGGAAAGGAAGAAAATGATCATACCTAGGCAGCTGTGCCATGATAGTGACACCCTATAATTTGAATGACTTTTATTATTTCATTCCCACCTGGCAGGTAGAGCAGTGACATATGTTGATACTTTCACATTTTGTGCCAAGTGACACGTCCCAGTGAACAATGATGTAGCTTCACCAAGGCAAAAGTGGCAGATTCTTCCCTACTCTGTCATTCATAATGTGACTCTATGAACAAGACAAATGGTAATTAAGCTTCATATTATAGAATGCACACCAACTAAGTACTAGATACTGTACTCAAAATGTCTGCAAAGCGTTTAACTCTCAGATGATCCAGCAAGATGGCTATGTATTCCATTTTACAGTTATGAAGAGGCTAAACCAACATCGTCAAATAGAACTTTCTGCATTGATGAAAATTCCCTATATCTGCACTGGCCAATCCAGTAGCCATATGTGGTTACCGGGAAACCTGAACATAGTTAGTATGACTGAGGAAATTAATTTTTTAAATTATGCTTAATTTAAATTTAAAATTTTAAACCCACATGTAGTTTGTGCTATATCTAGCTACAAAGCCCAAGCATTCCCCAACACACATACTCAGTCCTGCACACACACATGCACAAACCTATGCCCCCTGCAAAGATAGCCACAGTTCCCTTACGTCCCAAACAAATACCACCCTCACATGTGGCACAAAATAATTTACTATGGAACTAGTAAACTGAGTTCTCATGTCACTGCATTTGTTAATTTAAAAGGAAATGGAATGAGAGTCAGAGAGAATACCAAAGGAAGTTTTACTCTCAATTATCGTTCTGTGTCAAGCCCTGCACTATACAATCCAGGGAATACCACCCTAGTAAACAAGACGGGATGGGGAAATCATGTTTGATAATATCCAACACTGCATGCACATATTGTGAGAAAACAGCCTTTACACTGTAAAACAGCTTCTAATTTTTCTTAATTGAGTCACCAAGCTATTGTCAATTAAAGATGTTCCCTAACTTGGCCAAGTTCTTTACTGTCAGGGAAGAACAACATGATAAAACTGCCTGGGTGAAGAAAGTCATTCACTTTTAGTGGTCAATGTTACTGAGTGGAAACATCATATAGAGAAATGCTTCTGAGTACACCCATAAGTTTTGGAAATATTTAAGGTAATGACAGAGAATAAATGATGGGCATTAGCTGACAAAAAAGAATATGATATAGACTTAATTCTAAAAAACAAATTGATCACACGAAACTCTCAAAGTTAAGTTTTGAGCCTTCCAGAGCATCCAGATGAGTAATGGCTCATCCGCTTCTTATAAACCATTTTTCATCTCTACTACTATATTGTTTCAGCAAATAACCCATAATAGGCTTTAACCATAATGTGTTTAAGCTGTGTTGCCTAAATGTGAAATTTGTGAATGAAGTAATAACCAGGCCTAGACCTATCCCATTGAATTAAGAAGTCCTATAGTCCAAAATGTTAATCCTGTACATAAACTAAGAAAGCAAATACCGTGAGGTTACACAGTCAACAAGTTCAACACCAGACTGTCTCGAAGCCACAAAACAGTTCAATAACCACTGTGGAAAGAGGTCAATCCTACTTGATCTTTTTAATTTATAAATATGTATATGTATTTATATATATAAATATGTTAATATAAATATATATAGATATTATAAATATATACATACACACACAATCTTTTTTGACACTCTGATTGGAGACTATCTTTAATAATAACCATAATTGTTAGGCAAATCATCAAAATCATCATTTAATAAGAATGTGTTCATATAAATTAAACTTCAAAATATTATAATGATAAATGGAACTGACAGGCAATCCCTAGGCAACATTGTGAAGTAGGGGTTCTTGCACTCCACGATAGGTATGCATAGCAGATCCCCAGGTTACCAACACCAGAAGTTGAAATATTCCCTGCCAAGTATGCTGTAGCTTGTGAATTTGTATTTAAAATTATTTTGAAAAGCAATTCACCAGTAACTGTTACAAGGCACAGCCAGCACTTCAGGAGATGGCATGGCTGCTCCTTTTCAGGCTGTGTCCCTCAGGTGGACTCTTTATTCTGATTTAAACTCACATGTCCTCTCTATTTCCCTAAGGGTTCTATCCCGGGTTAGATGAAAGTGACTGCTAATCATTTAATTGGGCAAATTAATTCAAGCAGACAATTCAGTTAAAGCCACACATCTTAAGAAGCTCCTAATGTCACTGATACTGATTTGGATCTTATGATACAAAAACAGCCAAGACTACATTAAATCAAAATAGGCTTAAATGATACTATACAAGGAAATATTACAAACTGGCAGCAGTAATATAGATGGCTGCTGAATCAGGCATTTTAACTTGTAAAGCTTAGTAATACCATGGATCTCATAACAGGCTAGTCCAGATATAAATTACTAGCCTGTGTAAGCATAGTTAGGCCAGGGAAACCAGTTTTTAAAAACACTCACAGTAAGGAATAAAAGGGAAAGAATTAGGAAGAGGACAAGGTTACTTAAGAACAGCCTGCACTTAGATGTCAAGCAGCAATTTAGGAATCTGTTTTTGGATTTTAATCATCAAAACTTTCCTGTTTCTCTCCTCAAAGAAGGGAACCAAAACAGATACTAAACTGCCCGTGTGCAGGGCAGTGAGGGCTTAAATTTACGGCGTTATCTCAGTAACAAAACCATTCCAAAACATAATTATAACTACAGTAAATATTATTAATTAGAGGGAAGTAAAAATTCAGAAGTGACCTTCCTTCTAATCTTACCTCCAAAAGGTGAATTTATAAATTACTTTCATTAGTTCAGGTTCCCAAAAAACAATGATGATAAAATGTGTTTAAATGGCCAAGAGATTTATTGGGGAAAATGGCTATCAGGGAAAATGGGGCAAGCAGAAGGCTGGCACAGCCTTCCAATCACTTGTGGGAGAAAGAAGGAAGGAAGATTGAGTAGGACCAGTGCAGTTTGAAGAAAGTTCAAAGAAAAGGTTTGAAGACTGGTAAGTACTCCTCCAGCCAAAGTCTTTTGTCAGAGAAACCCCTCCTCTTACAAAAACAGGTTTGTCTTGGTATCCCTGCCATGCTCAGTTACAGGCCCAGAGCAGTCCATGGGAAGCATGGCAGCAGCAAGAATGTGGTGGTAGATCCCCAGCAGGAGCTGGCTGTCCATCATGCTCCCCACAGTAGAAGACATGAGAGGCCCATGTCCATGGCTACTACATAAGTCAAATGCTCATGACCCAATTCACTGATTATATGATGCAGTGATATGGTATAGGTCTTTAACAACAGAAACTAAAAATTCCAAAAAAGCAAAAGGTTTAAAAATTCCCACAATAAATGCAATAGGTGTAACCTAGCCTTGTAAACAAAACAAATATATACCAGGTTGCAATTACTTTTAACAAGTTGTCCTCCTTGGCAATAAACTGTAAAATTGCAAAACTTAATAAGAATGAGAAAACGAAATCAGCATTTATCACTGGACTACATAAAAACGTATTTTTGGATATTCTTGACTATACAAATGCATTTTAATGAAGAATTAACTAGATGATGTGTAAATATTTATAATAATCAAAGGCAACTTTATACCAGCCTACAACTTAAATTCTAAGGTGAAAACAGATTTCAGAGAATCAGCAAGTCAGATCTACATCTATCCAGGACTTTTTTCATATGTTCACTTTAGAAGACAGTAGATTTTCTTTTTATTTACAAAATTGCCAAGACACTTTCTTTCTATTCCTATCAATGGTCCCTAAAAGATCTTAAGTACTGTAAGAAAATCATAGGCAAAAAATTCAAAATGACCCACTAGTTTTACACCTTCTTAATTCTTAATGATTAAACAGCTTAAAACTGAGGCAGGGGAGGGGAAGATGTATTCAAAGAGGGTGCCAAAGACTACAAACCATGTGTTAGCTATTGTTATTTCCTTGTTATAGAAAATTTCAATTTTCTCTCCATGTTTTGTTGATTATATTTGTAATGATATCAAACATGGAAGTAAGAATCAGGATAATTTACACTGGTATATTTATCTTCAAAAGGCTGGCATAGGGGATCAGAAATGGGACTTTTTACTCAACGGTCCTGATATGAGGGAGGCAGGGTAGTGAGAGAAGGTCGCTAATTCTTTGACCACTCAAAACATTAACAATGTGCTACCTTTACTCTTTAAATCATTGATGACATCTTTAAGTTCACCTGAAATAACAAAAAGTTGGATCTGTAAGGGAACCTAGTGGCCTGTGGGCACGGTTGCCAAGCACTGAAGTCCCATCTCCCCACTTCTCCTACAGATAATGAGCTGCACAGCCAAGAGAGTCACAATTCGGGCAACAGGAGCGACGGACCAGGAAAGAACACCACCCTTCACAATGAATTTGACACGATTGTCTTGCCGGTGCTTTATCTCATTATATTTGTGGCAAGCATCTTGCTGAATGGTTTAGCAGTGTGGATCTTCTTCCACATTAGGAATAAAACCAGCTTCATATTCTATCTCAAAAACATAGTGGTTGCAGACCTCATCATGACACTGACATTTCCATTTCGAATAGTCCATGATGCAGGATTTGGACCTTGGTACTTCAAGTTTATTCTCTGCAGATACACTTCAGTTTTGTTTTATGCAAACATGTATACTTCCATCGTGTTCCTTGGGCTGATAAGCATTGATCGCTATCTGAAGGTGGTCAAGCCATTTGGGGACTCTCGGATGTACAGCATAACATTTACAAAGGTTTTATCTGTTTGTGTTTGGGTGATCATGGCTGTTTTGTCTTTGCCAAACATCATCCTAACAAACGGTCAACCAACAGAGGACAGTATCCATGACTGCCTGAAACTTAAAAGTCCTTTGGGGGTCAAATGGCATACGGCAGTCACCTATGTGAACAGCTGCTTGTTTGTGGCTGTGCTGGTGATTCTGATTGGATGTTACATAGCCATATCCAGGTACATCCACAAATCCAGCAGGCAATTCATAAGTCAGTCAAGCCGAAAGCGAAAACATAACCAGAGCATCAGGGTTGTTGTGGCTGTGTTTTTTACCTGCTTTCTACCATATCACTTGTGCAGAATTCCTTTTACTTTTAGTCAATTAGACAGGCTTTTAGATGAATCTGCACATAAAATCCTATATTACTGCAAAGAAATGACACTTTTCTTGTCTGCGTGTAATGTGTGCCTGGATCCAATAATTTACTTTTTCATGTGTAGGTCATTTTCAAGAAGGCTGTTCAAAAAATCAAATATCAGAACCAGGAGTGAAAGCATCAGATCACTGCAAAGTGTGAGAAGATCAGAAGTTCGCATATATTATGATTACACTGATGTGTAGGCCTTCTATTGTTTGTTGGGATCTGTATGTACAAAGTGTAAATAAATGTTTCTTTTCGTTATCCTTGCTTGAATCCATCAAAAATATGAATTCAAAGAACTAAAATGATATGAAATGGGGTCATAATTTGAAACTAAGGAAAACATTAAGACACAGCAAAGAGATAAACAAGAGGTAGCACACGGCTCAATGGCAGGGTTAATGGTTGGAAGTCTGAGGAGCAGAGTGAAAGGGCAGAATGAGCCACAGCAATGTCCCTGCACTGTGGCCATCCTCCAGGAAAAGCTGCTGCTCTGAAGCCACTTTTGCAGAGAACAAAAAGTATAAAAAAGAAAATTATATCTATCCTTGAAGTTCAAGGATAGGAAAAGAACATACTACTTTCCATCTATAAACTAAGATCTTTGGCGATCATCCCCTCATTCTCTGTGTGTGGGGATTTTTTTTAATTATTTTTTTCCTTTACTCAGCACTATAGAAATGCAGGTAGGGGTGTGTGTGTGGGGGTGTGTCTGTGTGTGTGTGTGTGCGCACGCACATGTGTGTGTGTAAGGGCTTCATTTTTAGGACCTTCTGTGTCCAGGTCAGAGCTCACCTTCAGGGCTCCAAAAGCAAGCAGGAATGAGCCGCAGAAATGCTTCTGCCTCCTCTCCCTGCTTAATGCCTCACCCCCACTCCTGTGATGCTCCTGTGACACCACCTTTCATTCCTCTGGGTAAGAGACTGTCCTCCAGCAACATAAATGCCTCGTGGGGGATGCATTAACAGAGAAGGAGCGAAGGCATGTTTGCTGATTAAAAGAAGACGTTATGGTTAACAGTCAAACACACACAAATAACACAGTACAATACTTAGAGTCTTATAAACTGCAAAGTTCTAAGCAGCAAAAATGAGAGTACAAGAATAACTTAGCTCAACAATGACTATCATTGTTAGGTACAGGAAAATAATTCAGGGACTACAAAGAATCTTACTCTAAGTGTCTAGTGTCTTAGTTTAAGTCAGTCAGGTTTGGCAGAGAAGTTAGTGGCAAAGGGGTTAAAAGTATTATCTGAGGACTTCTATCAAAATATCTGTCCATCAAGATTCCAATTCTATAAATGTAATGGACACTGACGTGCATGAATTTACATATACCTCAGTTGGTCATTTGCATAGCTATCCCTGCCTCCAATTGTGTGTCACTACCTCGATTAAGATGGTCATATTTTAGATCAACTAATTAAGAAAAGGTAGTTTGAAAGGCCAATTCTTTTCTGCACTTTCCCCAGAAAGCCATGGGTAAATTACAGCTTCCCTACATATATATAAAAAGGAGGAGCAGACCAGTCTGACCAACATGGAGAAACCCCGTCTCTACTAAAAATACAAAATTAGCCAGACGTGGTGGCGCATGCCTGTAATCCCAGCTACTCGGGAGGCTGAGGTAGGAGAATCGCTTGAACCCAGGAGGCAGAGGTTGCAGTGAGCCGAGATCGTGCCATTACACTCCAGCCTGGGCAAAAAGAGCAAAAATCCATCTCAAAAAAAAAAAAGGAGGGGGGAGTAAGCCATGCTCAGTGACTCACACCTGTAAACCCAGCACTTAGGGAGGCCAAGATGGGGGAATCACCTGAGGTCAGGAGCTCGAGACCAGCCTGGCCAACATGGTGAAACCCCATCTCTACTAAAAATACAAAAATTAGGTGGGCATGGTGACACACACCTGTAATCCCAGCTATTCGGAAGGCTGAGGCAGAAGAATCTCTTGAACCCTGGAGACGGAGGTTGCAGTGAGCCAAGATCACGCCACTGCACTCCAGTCTGGGCAAAAGAGCAAAACTCCATCAAAAAAAAAAGGAGCAATAGTGTGGATGGGAAAATACCTTCAGTAAGCACTTTGAAATTTAGTAAGTACTTCTCTATCCCATATCTCATTTAATCCTTTCATTTAGGCTTCAATTCTAACAGGTCTTTAAGACATTTAAATCCCACCTTAATATTTCTAAAATTAGACTGCTATATAGTTACCAGGCACGTTTAATGTGACAGTAGCTTTATTTCTCCTACGTGACACTATTAAATCAATGGAATATCTTCAAACATGGGCTTTAAAACAGAGAACATCATCCCAATTTTTTAAAAAAGTCATATGACAAAAACCATCAATATCGCACTGCTTATATTTCATACCAGTTCCCATGCTGTGGAATGAAAAGTATTTATCCAGGTCAATGAAAAATGAATCATTTACATGAGCTAAATAATATCAGTGGGAATAATACATGATGCTAGTGTCAGAAGCTACATAATACTCTATTAATATTGAAGAAAATAATTACATTTGATTGCTATTTCAAAACTGGCTTTTGGGAATAAACTAAAATTTGAAATCCAAAATTTCTTACTTAGGGCTTTTGGATTACATTGAGTATTTCAGAATCCTCCCAGAAGGCAATAAATACTGTATTTATTCTTCCTTTTATGCAGAAAAGAAACATATTCAGAGAATTTCCAAAAGGAAAGTTTCTATTCTTCATAAAACTGCCATTCAGAGAAACTGATCTTGTAGAAAATCTTCCAATGTGTGTGTTACTGTTATATTCATTCATAAATATTTTATCCTCAATTTGAAACAGTATGATAGTATTTTGCTTCTCAACCATAGTTTCAAGAGAATGGTGCCTAGGGGAATGCATAAATTTAAATACTCAAGTCAAAATTGTGTGTGTGTGTGTGTGTGTGCACACATGCAAAGAAGAGAATAAATACAACTGAAACATAAAGAAATGTAATGATCACCATGAGGAAATGTGATATACTAGAAAAAAATAAACAAGAAAACAAGGACAAAATAAAGCTTAGGAACCATTTAAATCTTATAAAGACTGTCCGCAAACTAACCACCACAAGAAGCCAGACTTAAATGTTAGACCTAATACCATAAAAACCCTAGAGGAAAACCTAGGTAGTACCATTCAGGACATAGGCATGGGCAAAGACTTCATGTCTAAAACACCAAAAGCAACGGCAGCAAAAGCCAAAATTGACAAATGGGATCTCATTAAACTAAAGAGCTTCTGCACAGCAAAAGAAACTACCATCAGAGTGAACAGGCAACCTACAGAATGGGAGAACATTTTTGCAATCTACTCATCTGACAAAGGGCTAATATCTAGAACCTACAAAGAACTCAAACAAATTTACAAGAAAAAAACAAACAACCCCATCCAAAAGTGGGCAAAGGATATGAACAGACATTTCTCAAAAGAAGACATTCATACAGCCAACAGACACATGAAAAAATGCTCATCATCACTGGCCATCAGAGAAATGCAAATCAAAACCACAATGAGATACCATCTCACACCAGTTAGAATGGCGATCATTCAAAAGTCAGGAAACAACAGGTGCTGGAGAGGATGTGGAGAAATAGGAACACTTTTACACTGTTGATGGGATTGTAAACTAGTTCAACCATTATGGAAAACAGTATGGCGATTCCTCAAGGATCTAGAACTAGATGTACCATATGACCCAGCCATCCCATTACTGGGTATATACCCAAAGGATTATAAATCATGCTGCTATAAAGACACATGCACACGGATGTTTATTGCAGCACTATTCACAATAGCAAAGACTTGGAATCAACCCAAATGTCCATCAGTGACAGATTGGATTAAGAAAATGTGGCACATATACACCATGGAATACTATGCAGCCATAAAAAAGGATGAGTTTATGTCCTTTGTAGGGACATGGATGCAGCTGGAAACCATCATTCTTAGCAAACTATCACAAGAACAGAAAACCAAACACCGCATGTTCTCACTCATAGGTGGGAACTGAACAATGAGATCACTTGGACTCGGGAAGGGGAACATCACACACTGGGGCCTATCATGGGGAGTGGGGAGGGGGGAGGGACTGCATTGGGAGTTATACCTGATGTAAATGACGAGTTGATGGGTGCTGACGAGTTGATGGGTGCAGCACACCAACATGGCACAAGTATACATATGTAACAAACCTGCACGTTATGCACATGTACCCTAGAACTTAAAGTATAATAATAATAAAATAAAAATAAAAATAAAAAATCCATAAATACTAAGCACACACCATATAAAAAGATATTGTGCTCAGCATGATAAATAAAAGAATCTCTGGATACTCCTAAATGACTTCTAAAGTTAAATAGTTAAGAACAAACATTTTCGATTTTCAACATAATACAAGTATCATAGTAGGCACAGAATTCAGCACACTCCTCAGTCCTCCATCACCATCTAGTGGTAAAACTCACAAAACAGGTGAAGAAAATTCAACTTTTGTCGTATTTACGGCATTTGAATTCACAGTAACACAGTCTAGCACTTTGCTGCAGTTTTCCTTTAAACATCTTTATTAATGCTAATATATACAAATGTGTATCATGCAGCTGCCTAGTTGAATGTAATATGGAAATGCTTGACAAGAATAATTAATGTCGTCAAGTTTTGTTACAGATGTAAAAAAACAAAAACTAACAAGGCTATAATAACACGAGTTTCATGGGAAAATGTTATGAATATTGACTGCTCTTTCTAAATTAACTTATAGAAAAAAAATTTTAAATGTATAATTTATCTATAGTTTCAAAAGTACACAAAATCATCATTAGAATGGAACAGGGAGGAATAAGACTATCAGTGTTAAATAAAATTTTCCATCAATTTATCAAGAAACTCATAAGAGTCATTTTGAATGCAACTTTCATTTTGAATACTCAAAGTTTTCTTATAAGCCACAATGAAAGGAAATCATCTAAAATTATAAAAATGATTAAAAAAAAAAAAGTCACCCTTAGAGACACACATCTTTTTCTCCTTAGTTGGAAACTCAAGATACAGAATTAAATTGGAAATTCCTTTTATTTCAATTTAGGCAAACATTCTTAATAAAAGTAAACTGGCCAACTTCTCTTTGAATTATGTTAGAGTACGGTCGCAAGTGGTGGCTCATGCCTGTAATCCCAGCACTCTGGGAGGCCAAGGCAGGCGGATCACAAAGTCAGAAGTTCGACACCATCCTGGCCAACGTGA